CAAAAGGGTAGCTTGGTAAATAATATGAGATCCTTACCGCGCTATAGGGGCTTCCCGAGTAAGATTAATTGTAAGATTAATCGCAGCTATGTGCACTGGTGGGTTCCAAGTTCAAATTAGACTTTGCGATATGATTGAACAATCGGATCTTCCTTTACGTTGCATATAAAGTTCCTCAAGTCAGAGTCAGGACATAGTCCGCCATTTGTAGGGAGGAAGTGAGTGAGTGAGAATGTAAGAGACAGAGAGAGAGAGAGAGAGAGAAGCTGCAGCATACTTCGTCATTTTAGTTTTAGAGTTTCTCTCTCACTCCTACTAGAGTTTCGCTCCCATTTCTCACGTCATCTCCAAAAATGATGGACAGGGTATGATCAGGAATTATCATGCTTTATTCTAATTAGATGACTCGACCAGAGGAACTCTAATTCCGATCGTCGGCGACGATCGGACGATAGCTACTCGCCGCGAACGACAATTCGTTCGACGAGACAGCACTCCGGGAGGAGAGCTGTCCTATCCGTCTTCCAGCTGCGCGACCACCTCCTAAGATGATGATCTATCGGACGTTCCGTGGGCGCGCGCGCGTGAGCTCGCGCGTTGGCCGCTCGCCGTAATTAATTAATTGTGTCACCGCGTAATTATGGGGCAACAGCCCGATAACCCATTTACATTCGGGAAAAATCTCGGTTTCATCAGGCATCTGTATGCATTTCCAGTCTGAATCGCATGGCGTTTTATATACACGAGCCTTTCCCGCTATTTGCCTGGATCTAGCTCAACAATACGTCTCAGCTCGCCTCGTGCGCAATTAGTCGGCGTATTTAATACAAAGGTGCGCGGGTGTACGGGCTCGCGAGCGCTAATTAACGCAGGCGTTTTCACAGATAGAGGGGCTATTGTCGGCGGGGCGGAGAAGAAGAAAGTCCAACGTGGGTCCGTAAGCTACTTCGGTTACAATTGTCGGCTAATTAGCGGCGTGGACGCCCGCAGCGTTCAAATCCGTAGAAATTTCACTAGCGATTGGCTGCGCCCTTCGCTGCGCGAGTCTTCCTGCTAATCATCGTCGCGCGTATCTCTATCGGCGAATTTTTTCCCCGGGGGATGATTCGCACATCCATGTGCCTCGCCATGAGACTCGCCCCGCCTTCTCTCGGCGTACGATGCATTCAGTGTTGGATATTAATCGATTGAAATGTTTGTTGATTAAAATAATCGGCGAATCAGTAATCGAAATTAATCAATCGTATCACGTATAAAATCACGAATTACTTAATCGATTGATGACATTAATTATTCATCAAACTTTTTCTGTATTAATTATACACTGATCGATAATTAATTTCACCAGTCGATTAAATTATTCGTGATTATATATATGACGATTGATTTTTATTTCGATTACTGATTTGTCGATTATTTTGGCCAAATAGAACTTCACTATTCTAGACCCTTTTCCCCGAATGTTTCATTTAACTTTCAAGCGCTGCTCTCCTTTTTCGGATTCTCTGATGTATACTTGATTAAAAATTGCTGTAGTCCTGATCAGGTGGATCCTAATCAATTATCTGGTTGATGTAAAATGATATATTATCGGCTTCTAATATCTAACAAAAATAATTAATTATTAATGGTTATAATATAAATAATAAAAATGTATTATAATTAAAATATAATACAAAATGATTAATAATATAAATTACTATAAGTTTTTAATTATTAATTATATTTTTTACTAATAAGATCCTAATCACCACACTGCGTTACATAACTTATCAACAGCCAATAACGCATCACTTTGTACAAATCATATAATTCATTGGGATCAGTTTGATCAGAGGACTATGAGATAAACTTTTAGTCGAATATATCCGAGGTCGTCACGATTGCTAAAATTAAAGTTGTAAAACGTCTTATTACAGTTCGAAATTAATTTTTATAAAAGTGGGACTGATAAGCAACAATTCGTTCTCATTTTCGCGATCACTTCATTCGTTTAGTGCATCCTTCGCGTCGGTCAGAGATCACCGTCGTCAAAATCTGCGTTTTTCGCCGCATCCTCGAGACTTCCTCTCGTCCCGTCGAGACCTCTCGAGGCTTAAATCGCTGATCCAGAATACTGCTTTCCAATGACCTTGTTTCGCCTCATCGTGAGAAGTAAGGTGAAGTTGAAATCTCGGTACCCGACGAAAGGGAATTCGCGCGCGCAGCAGCGCTCTCGGCTTTTCCGCAGGACGTTACGTGTCCTGGCAGACTCGCCGGTTAACTTCGTTAATGCTGATTATCCCATTGATCGGCGCAATGATAGATTTACGCGACTGTAAAATTAATTGACAACGAATCGCGGCTACACACATTACACACGAGATGCACGCTTGACAGGACAGCTGATTTATTTGCCCGGCCGATCCTGACAGGCCAAAAATTAGGACTGAGGTCAAATATCCTTTAATTAAGACAGTCAGCTTGGCGAGAAATGTAATTGCCGCATTATCGCGTTAGCAATTTTTTACCTTGTCATGACTCAGCACAATTAATCGCGCGGCGTTTATTATTACGGTGAAATAGAAACGGCGTTCTCGTTATCTCGTCCCGGCAATAAACGCGAGAGGACAGTTAGTTAACTCGCGCCCTCCTCCGCTCTCAACCTCCTCCCCCCTGAACGGATCGTGGACGTTCGTTTAACATAATATGGCGCACACACGGCGGCTCTTGCTCGATGCTTTTCTTGCACCTACCGTATCCGTGGCAATAACACGATACAGACGGTGTGTAGGCGCGCGAAATATTTCTTGCGCTCGCACGGAGACACGTGCTCCGAACCTGTATGTACAATTTTCTGCATGAAGTACTCGATCATACGATGATCCATACGGGGATTTATCTCGTGACTCGATCGATGAAACAATTTGCGGTTTCGTATCGATGTTTCCCCCCCGTTAAATTAAGAGGATCGTCGAGAGTCGCGGAAAACGATTGACGCGGAAGTAGAGTGGCGGCCGGCAGATACTAAGAGAGAGAAGGCCGTCGGCCCCTCGCCGACTGTTCTTCAAGAGAACGACCCACTTCGTCCAAAAGCGAGAGGGACGGTACTGCTTGGCAATTACGCACGTACACCTCTCTACTGCGTGTATATACGTAAATACGTTCATTATCTCTCCTTACGACGACGCCGTACATTGACTCTCTTCTCTCTCTCTTTTTTTTTCTACCTGTTTTCTTGTTGCACTCTGCTATTATTATTTTCTCATTATTTTTAATTATTTTTTATATCTTATTATCGACACTATTATACTTCTAATTAAGTTTTCCAATGCCTTTTCAATACGTGCTTAAATTTTCTTTTTCTTTCATTGATTATTAATTAGAATTTGTGTTCTGTTCTCTTTTCTTTATATTTTTCCACTTGCAACTTTATATCACTCCGTTACATTTGCTATAAAAAAAAATATTCTGTTTTCATTATCTTTTTTATTATACTTTTATACTTTATTATTTACTTTTATTTATTATACTTTTACATATATATATACTTCTACTACATACTATATATACATTGAGAGAAAAATAGTTTTCTTTGGCGTCAACTATATTCTTTTATGATTTTAACCACAAAAATAGTTAGAAAAACCATTATTTCAGTAAGTGTTGTTAGAAAAATGCTTCATCTAATTATTTTTTTTGGTTTCACAAATCACAAAAAAGTATAGTTGACGCCGAAAGCAACTATATTTTTCTCTCAGTGCAGTATGCTTGAAAGGATTTTATCCCAAGATTTGATAAATTCTCTCTCTCTCTCTCTCCCCCTGTCCCTACTTCTCTTTCTCTTTCCTCCTGTCTGTCTGTTTCTCTGGCAGTTAGGTGATCGCCGATCGCAAAACGAGCACGCGTTCGTGTACGCGTGAGCGAAAGGAATCTGATGTGTGTCTTTTTTTTATACTTTTTTTTATTATTCGCACCGACGATTTAATATCGAGAAAAAGTTTTCCGCCGCTCTTCGTTATCCCGCATTCTAACGTTCCGCTGGCGGCGTCGGCGATTTTTCCCGCCGTCGGGCGACTCGTCCGACTAGTCGGGCCGGAGCAGAGACCGGATGAATGAAGTTCGGAGTCTAGGTCGTGGTCTTTCGGTCAGCACAACCGCTTCCAACGAGGAATTGAATTTCCGTGACAATGAGAAAATTTATCACGCGATACAGCTTTCCGCATGCGATGCGTAGAACACACACGCGGCGATCAAGAAATTAATACTAAACGACTTTGTAACTGTGAAAAGAAAACATCATTTTCACTCGTCGTTATGTAAAAGTCGTTGTGATAACGCGAAACGTGTTGTCTTAGGGCCAGTTTTTCAATGATAGTTTAAACTTAGTATTTTAACTTAAACTCTGTTTAAACAAAACAAACGCATTGTTAGAATAGAGTTTAAACTTGAATCCAAGTTTAAACTGCTATTGAAAAACCGGCCCTTAGAAAATCAGAACAAATTGCTCAATTTTCCAGCTGTTTCCCACCGTTGATCGCATGTTACCGCGAAGGAGGCACACTGAGAAAGAGATACTTGAAAATTTATTTGTGGATTATAAGATTTAATTCTGTGAAATAAAATTTTTTCCATGAGGTAAAATTTGTATCCTGCGAAGAAATTTGTATCCCAAGTAAATTTTCAAGTATTCTTTTCTCGCTGTACTAATCGCCCAGTCCAATCAATCATCGGAACAGTTCTCCGCGGAATTGATATTCAACGCGATCGCGACCTGCGACTGTTTTTATTGCCGCCGTAACAACGTGCTTTGTGGTAAAATTTGTTTATTGTCGAGAGAAGCGCGTGAAAAACTCCTAGTTTCTCTCTCACGACACGGCGAGTCGGTCGTATCCAATCGCATCCGGCGCGGCCATGCCGGGGGATCCATCTCGTGGCATCCTGGCGGGAGACGACACGTGGTTGTTGCAGTGGCGGTCGGCACGAGGCTCCCTACTACCTCTTTCTCGGCTTCCTCGTCCACGCTGGACGCAATGAGGCGATCCTCAAAGCGCGACCGGTAGTCGAACCGCGTGCACGCCGAGTACGAGGAACAGCAAGTGCGCGAGGACTCTCACGCATACCGGATTCTTTCAATCTTCCTGTTTTCTTTCACGCTTCCCTCCTACTTTCCCCTGTAACTCGCGGCCCGATCGTCTCGGAAACAACCAGGATGAGGCGGAACCGAGTGCCGATCGCGAAGACGTGAGTAACCGACTGGATGTCGCCGAAGATCCCGTGGCGTCGCGATCGGTCGCGTTATCGGCACCTTCCGCAGAGAATCGGCACGCAGCGACGTCGGACATCGGTGAGGTGGTCCTCGGTTTCTCTTCTTTAAGACCAGACTCGCGATTTATGTGTTTAACGCTCGCAGCCCGATTGCGCGGCCAGGACTGATCGTGCGATGCGCATCGCGAACACGTTCGGTTGCCAAATCGACTTCGAATGTGCGAGCGCGGCTTCGAGTTTGCGGGAACGATCGACGGCAAAAGTGGCCCGGGAATGACGATCGACTGAGGATCGTGCGATAAGGCCGGCGAGGACTGTGAGGAAAACGATCAGCTGCTCCAAATCGGTGAGTTTTACCCTCGTGACATCCAGGCTGTTCGAAATCCGGTTGCGCGCAGAAGCCGTCCCGTTCTGGGTCTGGCATGTTTCATCGAGAACTAACAGCTGGTGACTGGCTGGAGTCAGCTACCAGCTCCTAAAAGTCAGGGGATCATGCTCTAACTTGACACTGAACGTCCGATTCATTCGTCTCACGTGTAAATCGCGTACGTTACCTCAGCTTGAGAATCTGATGATTGCATTCAGCACTGAGTATGCAATTAGGACACGGTATACCGCAAATCATTGGTGTGACAGTGCGCGATGATAACTTTGGGACTGTATGTCGCGATTTAGCTTGGAGAGATATCGGTAATGAAAATCTAATTTCTTGTGACTCTTCAACACTGACTCATCCAAGGGAGAACTGCCGAATTCTGGACTGATTAGAAAGTGTTAGGATTCGTGAAATCATGGTGATGATTAGAAACTACACTCCTCTTGTGTTCTCTGAAACTGATATTTAGGAAAGTTACCAACTGACAATCGCGATTTGTCATGTATTCGGGTTTCATGGAACAGCTCGCTGTCATGTACACAGTGAATCATGCGATGATCCGATGAAACGTGCAAAAGATTGGAAAGTTTTAATCTCGCGGTATCGATAGAAAGTCTCACCGCGCCTGGCGCGAAAGCAATTTTAAGCGTTAATACACTTGCATCCTCGTGGATGAAATTAGTCTCTGGGATGGATGATCGCTCATAACGAGCAATACCGACTGCTAATACAAGAATTATCGCCGCTTCCAGAAGTAGGCGAGCGCGCTAGATCGAAAACAATATAATCAATAGCCGGAGGAGTTAATGTTATTAGAAAGTCTCGATATCGTGCGATCAAGTTGCCAGGCAGTTTTGAATATAGGCGTCCTTAGATTCGTCGAGTGCAAATAACTCATTGCGTTGATTTCTTCCTCTTCGTTTCTTCCACAAGCACAGACGGAACTTCTTCTTCCACGGGATCCTATCTCCCTGGTATCCAACGAGCGGAAGCAAACAGTAGTTCTCGTCCGAGTAATTGCTAAGCTCCGTAGCTCCATAAGTGTCTGAAATGCCTGTGTAATGGATAACCGCGGAATCGGGACGTCTTCTGGATTCGTTTTGCAGAGCATCCTCGGAATATTTATACAATCCGGGTGAGTGGAGGAGCGCGCGGACACTGACTCACCTGTTCCTCCGGCGATCAGCGATCGCCGATAGAATTGTTATCGGCCCGCGAAAGAAGTGTGCCACTAAGAAGGAAGGCGAAAGAGGCGTAATCCACTTAGAGGCCCGTAATGGATAACGAATGCGCGAAGATGCACGGGCGGTTTTTGCATTTCACTCCCGTGGCGCGATTGCTCGTTGGCGATTAGCCTGTCCGTGGCGGAATCCCCCGTGTGAACTGGGTCGAGCCGATTCCTTCTTAAAATAACCGTAACCACTTGCCGTGATCGAACGCGCCACTTTCACTGATTAGTCGCGCGCCTCCTAAACACGCGCTCCACCTCGTGTCGAGGCACAGCCTCTCCATACATCTCCGGGTGTCTCCTCCGACGCATGGGACTAGAAATCCGTTCGTGGACGTGCCACGCGGCTCAGAGAGAGAGCTCGCGTTACCTGCTCGACATGTTTCGAACTCTTGAGATTGTCCTCGCAGATAATATATATGTGTCTACGCCGAGAGAGAAAAATGTCATCCTACTTCTAAGAGAAGCGATTGCTCAAATTACTTTCTTTTTTTTTTAAGGTAGCGATCATCATCTTCGGCGAGGAGTATTTTCTTGACAACGGTGTCAAGGTGTACTCATCACGAATTTTAAAAAAGCTCATGTACTCGCAAAGGAAGAATTTATATTCGCTTTACAGGAATATTGTAAAGCTCTATCGAGGAAAGTGATAGTTTGATCCTATGTGAGTAAGTAAACCGAATTTGATCTAATATTTTCGATCAAACTGTCGAATCTACTAGGACTCAGGATGTATTTTTAATAAATTTTATGCTTATGATGAGCTTATGATAGATTCGAGGATATATATATTTGTGAAATACTTTCGCAAACAAATAACATTTACTTAAATGCAGTATGTATATTTTTGTGTGTAGTTTGAAACATTTTTATGCGTCGGTACGCGCATTAACCTAATTATTTTTGCACAAAATACAGTCGTTACCTCTTATTTATGATGCTCCCATTAAAATAATTACACTGAAAAATTAATTCCAATTTTTGTTTCGTTATTTCGCGAGAGAGCTACTTGTTTAACATGTTTGAATCTCTTGAAATTATCTTCAGAAATAATTATGTGCTTGGTTTAAAAAATTTATGTGTCGATACGCGCGCACTAGCCTCTATCTATTTTTGCACAACGTAATATTTCATGCACTTTCTTCTAATGTATAGTCGTTACATTTTATTGTGTGTGTGTGTGTGTGTGTGTGTGTGTGTGTGTGTGTGTGTGTGTGTGTGTGCATGTAACGTCGCTCTTATTAAAATAATTACACTGGAAAATGAAATCAAATTTTTGTTTCGTTACTTTGCGATGTAATACTGGTATCATACAGTAACCAGTTCTTTTACTTCGCGTAGTGCGTGATCATACGCAATATTAATCAGTGCAATCGAGGCAATTAATCTCAGGATCTCTTCACCCAAAATGATCCGGTTTCACGACGAGCCCACTTAGTCCCGAGTCACGCTTTTTCGCCGGAATCCACTCAAACACCTGATATAAGGAGTACCTTACGTAACGCGTTGGTAAAGAACTATGTTAATAAGGACTATTCGCCGGACCCGATTTTACCTCTAAAAGTGGACTCTCGCGATTTCACTTTCGTCGAGAGCCACGGCTACATTAAGTGTCTCGTTGCGGGCGAGACGCAATTGATTGTTTCGCGCTGCGGTTTCGCGGGAGCATTCGCTTGTGCATTACTATTTCGCTCCAGTTTCGAGCTACAAGTGTGCCGGTTCGGAACAAATTAGAGCCGCTTTTGTTCGCGATGGATTTGGGTCTCTCCTCCTCGCGCCGAGTCCGTTAGAGCGTTTCGCCGTCACGGTCCCTGGGCCATAAAAGATTTGTCCTCTATATCGTACGACCCAAAAATCAGCAAGGATTCATCCGCGGCTTCGTCTCGCGCAACGCTCGAAACGCATCGGGAGACATTAACGTCCATTTGTATGCGCTTTCTCGAAACGCGAGCGCGAAAGCCACACCGATTAACAAGCTGTTAACGCACTTCGATCGCGCACGAGGGAATGCGCCGCCCGCGCTGCTCGAGAAATCCGTCCGCCGTTATTATTCGCTAATGGCCCTCCGTTGTTGCTGTCGTTTTCGCGACTGGAAACTAATGGCGATACACGACTGGACGAAATTACTCCTCCGCGAATAGCACTCACAGAAAAACGTGATAATGGCAACTACAACCTTCTCAATAATGAATGAATTTGCACGCGCGAAAAGACTCGTAAAACACGATATTCGCGTTATTTTTATACTAAATATAACGAAATTATATATGAAGCTCCAAAAAATTAATTAGCCACATTTTTTGGCTAAATAAAATATAACGAAATTATATATGAAGCTCCTTTTATTATTCAAATAACTAATAAAGTTTCTTTGTTTTTGGACATACGTCTCACACGCTGAACAATTTTATCCTTCTACAAAGAAACTAATGTTAATATAACACTACAACATCTGTGTTTGCTTCTCATTGGCATTAAAAAAAAAAACTTTGTTAGTATTAAAATATAATATTTGACAATGCAGAATCGAACGATGGGAATTATTTAACAGAATTTCGTATGAAAAATAATTTGATTAGGAACTGACGAAAAACTGCTTAGAAACTGACTAGAAAGTGGCCAATTTTACTTTCCAATTACTGACGAGGCAAAAGTTTGTTGCCCAAACTGGCCAGAAACTTAGCCAATAATCGAAATTTCTGTCAGCCACTGGCTAGGAAGAAATCGTCCTTTTTACTCGGGTGCAAGACTCGCGTATCACCTATCAATACTATCAATTATATCACCTATCTGTATAGTTGCCATCGCCGTATCTTCTTCGCGTCCATCGTAGTTTCGCCAGCTGTCGCGGAATCATCATTCTACCAGTCGAGCGCGGTCTGATAAGGCTGCAAGTAGTTCACTCGGACAAAAGCTGGAATATCGGGGTATTAGCTTGTCCTGTGTGATTTTACTCGTCTCCGGCCTGTACTTGACCGCAAGGTCGCGCACGTGACGCTCGATACGTGAGCGCTTACTGTCATCGTTGCGTCAATAGACGTTTCCACGGCTATTCCGGTAGTAGGTCTTCGGTTTCCACCGCTGCCTTCACTGCAGTACCGTTCCTCCGCTATATTGTTAAAGGTAAACATAGGGAATTTCGGGCCCCGCGCTTAACACGGCAGAAAACGAGAGGATAAGCGGTCAGGTATTTATCGCGTTGCCATTAACTGTTAGTCGCGTGGTCGCGCGTGTACGATAACATAACGACCCCGTAAAGCTTCCCTTTATGCGGCGATTGCAATTATAAATAAATTGGGATTAACGCGCGTTACATCGCGCAGGAACTTCCGTGAAAGCTCTTCATTAGCTATGTATAACGATGCATAGAGGATGATGCGCTTTACACCGTGCTAATTCCACGTAGGAAGCTAAACACTCGGATCCATTAATGGCTTCTCCTAATTATTCTAAGCTTCCCTGAAGACTCGGCCGCATCGTGCATGCAATTTCCACGGTCTCGCGACAAAATACGCCCCGATACTCGAGTGGCTTCTCTCTCTCTCTCTCTCTCTCTCTCTCTCTCTCTAAACTTGCAGAAGATGGTAAGGATGGACCAAAAAGTAATCGTGTCTCTCTACATGGAGATCGTCTCTATGCAAAAATTGATAGAATTTCGAGTGTCTCGAATAACAAGAAGAGAATCAAACGTCCTCAGATCCTTGTTTGCACCATTATTCTGCGGTATCGTTTTTTGTATTAG